AATGTCTGTAGGCAGATCAGAAAGGATCTTGTAAGTTGAGGCACAGAATGTATCCTTTTGGCCCAAAGCTATTCACTTCATTCTTCTGACACTTTTTTCTTTTTGCAGTATTAGGGATTCAACACTGAGCTACAGCTCCTGGCCTTTTTATGCTTTTTGTGTGGGAGGGGGGGATGTTGAGACAGGCTATCATTAAGCTGCCCAAGCATGGCTTGAACTAGTGATTCTCCCACCTCATTGTCCTCAATAACTGGGATTACAGGGATGGAGCACTGAACTCAGCTCTTCTAATACTTTCAACATACCTTAATACTGACCAAATTGATCATTGATTATTTGTCTCTTTCTGAGCCCCTTAATGGCTAAAACCCTGTGTGGTGTTCTTCAAATTTCCTGTGCCTAGTTTTCAGTCAGAACAATACCAAATGTAGAAAAGTAGATGGAAGAGACTTCTCCAGGGTAACACAGCTATTTGGGAGGAGAGATGTATCCACTCCAGGTGTATGGAATATTTTTGAGTGCTGTTTTACATTTCTGAGACTTGGATAAGACGTAGGAATTGAAATATTTCATTTAATACACCCTTCACTACACTGAATTTTTTCCTTTCATGAACATCTTGTCACTAGTCATGGACATTCAAATTTCAGTGACACTTCATCAAGAGCCTTTAGGCACTAAGAATTAGGTAATATATAAATTTTGGCAAGTTACAGTGTGCTCTGGGCATTATGTGTACACAATTTGATTTCATCTATAGCGGTACCTTGGTACTGTTTGTTTTGTTTTGTTTTGTTTTGTTTTGTATTTTGTGCAGGATCTCAGTATGCAGCTCCGACTCTTGTAGTGATCCTCCTGATTTCTGCCTCCTCAGTGCTGGGATTACAGGCGTGCGCCACCACACCTGGACTCCATAGCCAGCTTAGCATGCGCAGGGGGTGGAGCTGGTGCGGCATGCCATGCCAGGGATCGAACCCTGGCCCCTGCACTTACCTAAGCAAGTGCTTAGTCCACTGAGCTATACTGCCAGCCCTTCTCATTGTTAATTAGTTACAGAAGGCCTCACAAGTATCAAGAAAGAGGAGCAGTGATGGAATTATTTTGGCTAGAAAGGGTAATGTGTCCCAAGACCATTGCCATTAACAAGATACAGCTTACGCATCAAATGACAGGTTCTAAGATAAAAATTTTGCCTTGAAATGTGCTGGGTACCAAATGTGACAAATTTCGAAGCAGTCAAGTGCCAGGCTATGACAGTAGTGCTGTCGTCAGCATTAGAGGTATAAATGTCATTGTAATATTACTCACTTAAAACAAAATAGCAATGGACCCTCCAAGTCAGGCCAAAGTTAAACTGTCAATCCAAGAACAAATCTTCATTAAGAATCAATGCAATGAATGGATACCCACTATTACTATCAGAGAGTAGAATCAGAAAATACTTGAAAGGTCATCTATCTCATTTCTAGAGTCACCCACGTTAGAAACTTTCTATTTTTCTCCTATCCTCTAATATCTTTCCATTCTAACTCAGTCTACATCCTATTGCCCAGTTAATCCTAGCTGTGTGATACAGAGCAAGTTGCCTGACTTCTCAAGCTCTTGGTTGTCTTATCTGAAAAGTTAATGGACAATGATGGGTTAGTGTCAAGTCCCTCAAAGGTACCTAGAGTGTCACTAAACAGGTTGAGGAAAAGATGGGCCATGAGCTTAGTTGGTAGGCTCCTATGTATTCTTTTTAAACACATCAGCCATTTCAGAAACTGTAGGCCTCTCTTAGTTTGGAAAAAGAGTTATGCTACTACAAAAAAGTTTAAGTACCATAATACTTTCATAATTTCTACAGATCCTATTTTCTCTAAACTAGGATTTTGAAGAATCATACACAGAAGAAATTTAACATGATCAAGTGTTTATGTACAGAAATACAATAAATAACTCATTTCTATTCCTTTTTTATGACTTCTTTTTACAATTGATAGGCTATGGCCCTAGTATGAATTGTTGAATTATGGTGGTCATCTAATATGGCTGAAGCCTTTAAAACAACAGCTTATCTTCCCAGAGACCACCTCCCCTCTTCTTCTCCATCTCAGCCCAGGGTGCAATTTCCTTTCACCTTTCCCACCTCCTCAGGGAAGACCCCAATCAGCTCCTCAGGTATATCTAGACATCCCCCTCACACCCCAGCCCTGACAAAAGGCCATAGAAGCTTCAGCTTCCCTTTGTTCCAATCCAGAGAATTCCTTATCTTCCCAGATTCTATGTCCTCCAAGATAATAAAGCCACTTTCCCCTTTTCCTTCTGCTTGTTTCTCTGCTGTGACACCATCAAAAACCTATCAACAGTAATCTTCATGTCCTTTCAAAGTCAGCTGAAATGCAATGCTTAAAATGACAATTCTAATGTGTGATAGGAACTCTGAAAGTAATTCGAAACTCCCACAAAGATTATTTTGAAAGTCGTAGAAAATGGTTTATGGAGTTCAGAACCAAATTCAAATTTTCATAGTTTTCCACTTACCTAACAGTAAAAACATGTCTAAAGCCAAACAAATGCAAATAAGTTAAGCTATTATTGTCATAACAACTGTTTTCATGTCTCCTCCACAAATACTGTCTTTCCATTCATGGCTAAAGCTAACACTTAAAGTTTAGTTTACTGAAGTGACTAAAGGCACTGTACCAGAAAACCAAATAATTAATTCCCCAGAACTCCACTTGTAGAGCTTGGTTTCAAAGGGGAGGTTTATTAGCTGGGGAGCCTCTTCAACCTCCACTTAGGACCAGTGTCCTTTACCTCTTGCAAAGCACTGTTTGGAGCTTCTGTGAAAGGTTTTCTCCATCTTTCTAAATCCTACCCGACTGAAGGTTAATAGAGTAGAAACAACTGGACACAGAAGAGATCCGCAAGTCACTTAATACTTCTGATATCTGAAGTTTTTTGTTTGTTTGTTTGTATTTTAAGGAAGTGTCTACAGGGTGTTCAGCTTTCTTTCTGCAGAACGAGGCTTTGAACTCAGGCCCTTGTGTTTCCTAGGCAAGCACTTATTCTACTGAGCTATCTCCCCAGCCCAATTTGGGCTAATAGTGATTCTCCTGTTTACAGCCTCCCAAGAGGTGGGATTACAGGCGCATGCCACCACAGTCTCAATTGCTGTCTCAGCGCGAGCGTGCACGTGCACGCGCATGCACAGGGGTCGGGGACAGCTAGACTGGCCCGGGGAGCAGGACCGGGATCAAACCTTTGGCCCCTGTGCTTGCTTGCAGGCGCTTTAATCTGCTGAGCTATTTGGCTGGCCTTGAGGTTCCTTCTTCTTGCTTTGAAATTCTATAACTGCATGTCCTGTCTGAGAAGCCTTTTGAATTCCTAGTGTTGAATGACTTGTCATTTTTTGGATTTCCAATAGCCTGTGCAACACTGTCCTATATTGCCCTCTACTTACTTTTATATAAAAATGTTTTTCCTTCCCAACCATATTTATTTTATAGTTGTTGTTGCTATTATTATTATTATTATTATTATTATTATTTTGGGTACTGGGGGTCATAAGCAGGACCTTGCGCTTGTGCTGGCGCTTGTGCAGGCGCTTATGCCGCTGAGCTATCTCCGTGGGCCCTGCTGGGGAGATGGCTCAGTGGAATATAACACTTCCCTGGCAAACACCAGAGCCTGAGTTCAATCTCCGGTTCCGCAGAAAAAAAAAAAAAAGACAGTTTAAAAGTTTATTTTGGAGAGCAGGTAGTGCGCCCTCTACCGCAATCTCCTAGTCAACTCGGGGAGTGTCTGAAGGTAATCAGGTATTTATATTGATTCGCCCAAAGCAGTGAAGCCCTCTCTTTTAAAGTCCTGGAATTGCATTGTAATTCATACTGTCTAGTAGAAATACATGAACCACAAATGTAACTAAATTTTCTAGTAGTTTAAAAAAATGGGGAAAAAAGTGAAAAGTTAGTTTAAGAATATTTAACTCAACCTATTAAAATATCATTTCAATATGTAGTAATATAAAAAGCATTGATAGTTTACTTTTTTTGTAATGTCATTCAAATGCTTGGTAGCCATCTATTAAACAGCCCGGTTCTGCATGATTGGCCTGCTTTCTAAACGATTATTATACTTCTTTTTTCTATTCATAACTATTCAGTTTAGCCAGAGAGGTGCAAGCACGAAATCAGATAAGTGATGAATTTGTACATCGCTAGCTATTGTACAGTGTGGCGAGTCCCGGGACAGGGATGCACGGAAGAAGGCCTGCCTAGGCAGCTGAGGGTCGCGGGGTGGGGGTGGCGGAGCCAAAGAAGGTTGCACAGAGGAAGTAACTTTTGACCTGGGAACTCGGCGGCCCGAGAGAGGCCGGCGATGGGAAGACACAAGTCGCGAGTTACTCCTCGAGCTGGGCCCAGGAAAGGCTCCACGGGTCTCTAGTCCAGAAGGCGTGCGGCAGTCGGTGGAGAGGAAGAGGCGACTGGGATGGGAACAGGGTGGCGGAGGACCGGCGGGGCGGAACCCGGAGCTCCATCTGTGGGGGACGGAAGCCGGAAGGGGGCGCCATCTGCACCTGGAGCTGGCGCGGCCGAACCTCGGAGCCCGGGGCGGCCGCGGGGGCGCCCGGCCGTCGGGAGCCTCCACCAGGGGAGCGCCTCGCGAGGTAAGACGCGCTCCGGACCCGTCCTGGGGCGCGCCGCGGCCGCCCCCGCCTCGCACGCCTTCCCGCGCCCTGTGCCCAGCCGCGCCCCCCGCCCCACCCGGAGACCCCACGAAACTTCCCGGTCAGCCGTCCGCCGCGAGAAGTAAGCCGTAAAATAGCGCCAAGGGTTTTGCTTGTGTGTGTTTTTAACAGATGCCTGTAGCTTCTACCAGGCTTCCTGGTAAAATGAGTCAATGGAGACGGTTGCCTTGCCCGGGCCGGCTAATCGCCGCTCCCGGGAGTCCCTCCCGGCTTTGGTAACAATGGCGGGACTGGCCAGTGCAGCGCCACTTCCGGGGCCTGCCGCACACGTGGTTTACTTCAGTCTGGTTGCCCTTGAGCCCGGAAGCAAATGCTCTGGGTTCCTCCCACTCCAAGATGGCAGCGTCTGAAGACAGCTTAGAGCTCCCTCGACTTCCCGAGCTGTTCGAAACCAGCAAACAGCTTCTGGAGGAAGTAGAAGTAGCCAATGAACCCACCGGCGCCAAGATAATCCAGGACAGAGTGATCAAGGGACTAGATCTACTTGAGAAGGCTGCTAAAATGCTATCGCAACTCAGTTTGTTCAGGTATGGGGGAAAGGGTAAAAACGGAGAGCGAAGGTAATACTCTATCAAGGATGGAGCCACTGTGCTTGGGTTGGGGGCTTTTAAGACCCTTTCGTATCTACTCGCTACGGCCTTAATACATTGTTTTCACTGTCCGTCTCTCATCTGAGATGGTTGGTGTCCCATAACTCTGCTCCCTAGTGTCGGCTGAATGCATAGGCATTGGGTGTGAACACAGCCACTTAGGTTGAAACTGGCAGCTGTTGCCTTTGTTTTATTCCCTCCCAGCCCTCCTCTCTCCGAGGAAGCAACAGCCACTGTTTGAATGCTAAATCGGGCTTCACAGCCTCCTTTTTGCTCTTTCCAGCCGAAATGAAGATTTAGAAGAAATTGCTTCCATCGACCTGAAGTACCTGATGGTGCCAGCGTTGCAAGGAGCCCTCACCATGAAACAAGTCAACCCCAGCAAGCGGCTAGATCATTTACAGCAGGCTCGAGAACATTTTATAAACTACTTAACTCAGTGCCATTATTACCATGTAGCAGAGTTTCAGCTGCCCAAACAACAACTGGACAAGAACAACTCAGCTGAAAATAACACTGCTAGTTCTTCCATGGCCTATGCTAACCTCCTTGCTATGGCGTCTCAAAGAAAGGCTAAAATAGAGAGGTGGGTCAATAGCTATAACTCGAGAGGTTCCCAGTGACAGTACAATTGGTGAGTGCATGTCTTTGTGTGCGTGGAAGACAGAATGGTGTGTACATGTTGGTTCTTACTGAGCATGAGCTCCAGGCAGAGCAAACTTTGCTGAGTTTTTCAGAAAGCCTCTACCTTTGTTGAGGTGATTGTACCCAAACCAGAGAAAATCAGTGCAAAGAACTTTTATTGTAATGGAGACAGACAGTAACTGCTTTCCCCAAGTCTAAAATTGAGGAAATAATAGCTCCTTCCTCAGAGAATATCTTATGAGGACTAAAAGAAAAATACAAATAAAGTGATCTGCACAGTATATTCTGATAGAATAACCAAAGGATTATGGTTGCAAATGGCAACAGTGTAGTTTAGCAGTGTCTTGCAACCTTTTGTCACAACATAATACACATATGCAGTAAATAACTCTGAAGGGCTCTCATCTCAGAGGTGTTGTTTTGTGTTCTGGGTTTTGTTTTGTTTTGTCTTTTTGAGATAGGATCTCAAGGGCAGTTCAGGCTGGCCTTGAGTTCACTTTGTAGTCCAGGCTGGTCTCGAACTCACAGTGATCCCCCTGCCTCCACTTTCTGAGTGCTGAAATTACAGGTATCCACTACTGTGCTCCACCCAGTGTTCTGTTTATTGAGTTGCATTGTTCTAACAAGAATACTGAATTAGATGTGTAACATCTTCAATGTAGCAATGTTTTTTTATGTGACCTTGAAAAAGTTGCTTATCTTAATCTTAAAAATTATTTTTAACGGTAATTACAGTGTAATTACAGTGTCTCGGAACTATGCTGATCACTGAAGATGCAAACTGTATGAGCATTTGTATGAGTGGTCATTGCTTGGGAGGAGTTCGTACTATGGTGAGGAAGATGCATATAGAAATAGAATAGCAGTATAAATTGATGTGCTAGAGAGATGCACAAGGTACTGTGAGGGCACACACCCAAAGGTTTAGGGGAGAAAAGGCTCCCTGCAAAGGGTAATTCCTGTCAGGAGTTAGGACAAATAGTATTGTCCAGAGGAAAAGGAGAGGAGGGCATTAATCTGCAGAAATAGTGGCATTGATAAAACCAATGGGACATTAACCACTTACCAGTCCAATTATTTAAATACAAAGTGACCATAAGTTGCATATTTTTTCCTTAATTTTTCTAACGTAGCAGAAAATATATAAATGACACTGTTACTACATTATTCAGCACAACAATCAACTGGTTAAAAACACACCTGGTCAGTATGTAAACAGATGTGCTGCCTGAGTGACCCAGGGTAAACAGTTAAGTGGTTAAGGAAACTGCTGGAGTGGGGCTATGTGGGAGAGGAACAGCACTCAGTTAAGTGATGCTGGGACACTGTGAAAGAGGAGGAAGGAATGGTGCTGAAGAATGCAGGGTCAATACCAAGGTGCGCTGAGAATGTGAGAAAGGCTTGTTGCTAAGAGCTTGGGAAGGTGTGTGAATCGTAGCTCCATCATTTCCCCTATGATCTAGGACAAGTTATTTGTTTTCCCCAGCTCCAAAATTGAGGAAATAATAGCTCCTTCCTCAGAGAATATCTTATAAGGACTAAAAAATACGGATAAAGCGTTCTACACAGTATCTGATAGAATAACCAAAGTGAGCTTTGGTATATGTTTGTGGCCAAGAGCATAGGTTACAGAATCAGAAACCTGGGTGTGAGTCCCAGTTTATTTATAAACCATTAGACTTTGCAAAAGTTATGTAGCCTATCTGAGCCTCATGTTGCCTCCAATGTGAAATCTAATAATGGTGCATATTTCTTAAGGAGTATAAATGAGATAAACACATAAAACTAGTATCTAGTACATAGGATTTTATAAATATTAATTATTTTTAATTTGGTCTTTTAGGTTGATTGAGCTTACTTAGGTTGGTAACTGGGATCCACTGAAAAAATTTTATGTCTTTTATAAAAGTAACACGATCATACTTGCATTTTAACTATTGCACTAAGCCCATTTAGGTGACAGGTGATAACAGTTCACTAGGCAATAGCAGATGAATAGAGGGAATATATTTATTTAGAAGGGATGAATCTGCAGAAAACCTGATGAACTAATTGATTATGAAAGGTGAAGTAGAAACAGCAAGGAAGATGTCCATGTTTCTGATTTAGGTAGGTGGCTGTTGAGTTCACTGAGATGGAGAGTAGACAAGGAAGAGCAGATCAGGGGGTGGGCAGCATGTGCATTCAATGTTAGTGCATATGGAGTTGATCCCTGGAAGACCCCCCAGGAGAGGTGTCTGACAGCATGAAGCTCAAGGTGAAGTTTGATCTGGAGAGCTAAAAGTTGGTTGATTTATGCAAATATTTATTGAGATCTTCTTGTGTACTGAAAACTGTTGAAGCTATTAGAGAACCAGACAAAATCAGTGCAGTCAAAGAGCTTTTATCGTACTGGAGAGAGACAGTAAGCTACCAAATACTAATGTAAGTTCAGGAGGTAGGGCTTGTGAAGAATAGTAAAGTATGGTTATGGGATAATGATTGACAGCGAGTGATTTGGGGGAATACAGGACAGACTGAAGCAAAGTATAATTCAGTATCCTATCCGCTGTAAGAAGCTGAAAGCAGTGGCATATAAACAGTGAATTTTGGATCCAAATAATTCAGAAGTGAATACAAACACCATAGAAATAGAGTGTTATGGAGAAAGATAAGGGAGAGGTTGCATCTGATTGGAGGAATGAAAAGATTTCTGAATGTAACTACATATAAGCTGAGTTTCTTTTTTCTTTTTTTGTGGCTGGCTCAGCCTTGCCTGGGGGCAGGGCTGGCACAGCATATGGTGCCCAGGATGGAACCCCAGTCTCTGGGCTTGCCTAAGCAGGCACTTTAGTCTGTTGAGCTAGCTTGCCGGCCTTGAGTCTTAAAGATGGTTAAAAATGGACATTACAGATTTTCCTAAATGTAAAAGTAGGCAAAACAAGAATATTTAAAAAATCAAGAATAAGCATTAATCTTAGCACTGATAGATGTTATTACCTTTCTGTGTATTTTCTTTCAAACATAGTTATGTTAGCTAATAAATTTGCAATAATACTATAAATACAGCTTTTTAATCTTGTTTTTTAACCTAATATTGTGTTTCCATATGTGTTCTGAAACCATAATATTTAATGATTATATAATATTCCATTCTATAATTGTATCGTATTTAAACTAATCTGTTGTCAGATATTTAGAGTATCTTTTTCCTATCCTGAGTGATAGTATGAACCAAGTTTTTTTTGGTATTGAACCCAGAACCTTAACTACTTCTGTTCCTTTGGGATAGATTTCTAGAAGGATCAGTGACTAGATGAAAAGGTTTGACTGATTTAAGGGTCTTCATACATGGTACCAATTTTGCTTTCTACAATAATAAGTTTCATAGTATGTGTCACTGCATTGGTCCTGGATGTTTATTTAGAAAATTAGGTCGTCCCTTTAAGCAAACAGAAGGTATTTTATATTTCTTTGGCCTGCAAGCTTGATCATTGGCCATTTTTAAAAGCATCTGACAGATATCAACACTATCTTTATGCTATTAATTCCCGTATTTATATCTCTAGGCCAGAACCCTTGTAACCATCAGATCAGTACTTCCAGTACCCTGGAGTATTTCACAGACGTCTCAGACTTAACATGCCATACAGTTAAACTCTTGACCTTTTTTCTTCTTGGTGTTGGGAATTGAGCCTAGGGCCTCACACATACTAGGTGAGTGCTCTATCATTGAGCTAAAACCCAGCAGAAACCCTCGACTTTTTGAGCCCAAGTGCTATGCCCAGGTCTTTACTGTCTTAGTAAGTTCACCACAATTTTCCCATGTTTGTAGATAAGAAACCTAAGTGTTAATTTCAACTCCCTTTTTCCAGATTGCTTCATCCAATCTATTCTGTCCACACAAGGAATCTTTTATCTTTCTGTCTCTCTGCATCTCCACTGACATGTCCTTCTAGGCCATCAGAATCTCTCTCCTAAAATAGAGCACGGACTGCCGTGCCTTCCGTGATCTGGTGCCTGTCTCCCCAATCTCACTGTGTCATTCTGCCCTTATTTATTAGCTCTAGCCACACGTGTTGTCTTTCAGTTTTTTAGACAGACATATCTCTTCTATAGACTATGTGTTCTTTTGTGTGGAATGCTGTTCATACAGCAAATTCATTTTTTATTCTCAGTTTAAACATCACTGGAGGGGCCTTTCCTTCTTTTTGCTCCGTGTTTGTTTCTTTCATGGCACTCCTTTCATGTGCAGCTGTTTCATGTGTCTGTCTTTCTGGGTTTTGTGTCCTGTGCGAGAATGTGTACTCCATGATGGCAGAAGCCATTTCCCTCTTCTTCAGTGTGGTATGCCTAGCACAGGGCCTGGCCTGTAGGAGCTGCTCAGGCATTATTTACTGTGGACAGATAGGAGAAACAACATGAACAAAAGCTCAGAGGCAGGTAGATTGGGGTGTGTATAGGGAATAGCTAATAATCTAAGTTTGGCAAAAGCTAAAAGCAATATAGGCAGAGGTCAGCTTTGGGAGGTGATGTATATAGAATTAAAAGGGAAAAGAAGCAGAAAGATAAGTCATCAGTACTCCCAACTAAGATCAAATGATAAAAATAAACTGACAGCTATCAGAAATTACATTTGCAAGAAGATTAGAAAACATTGAGAGCCGTAGGGATAACAGTGGTTTACTTAGCATGCACAAGGCCTGGGTTTAGTCTCTAGTGCCACACATACACAAACCCAAACTATTCAATCCTTATTTAATTTCTCTTAAGTCACCCCATTCATGACTTCAGGTACAGCGACAACACCTAAACTGTATGTCTTTTCTTTCTCAAACCTGTTTTTTTTCACATATATTCTCTAATTTCCATGTTTGAAGAGTGAATGTGAGTTTGGTTGATTAGCACCATCTCCATTCTTTTGACAGAAATAAAGTAGAACCTGGGTCAGTAATGAGTCTACTTTTAGATTTACATGATTTCAGTCCTAAAGTGACAACGGGATAGCCATTTTCATAGACAGAAATACACAACTAAAACTTAATAGACCGCTTGATGATTGATGAAAAAAATTTAGGAACCCTCTGCTGTGGTTAATATGGATGAATTTGCCAAGATAAACCATGTAAAAGAAGAAAAAAGCTAAGGACTAAACCTTGGGCCAAGCTAAAGGAGGAAGGGGAAAATAAGCCGGGGATATAACTCAGTGGCACAGCCCCTGCCTGAAGAGTAAGGTCCTTAGTTTGATTCCCAGTACCAAAAAAAAAAAAAAAATAGAACAGAGGTATGAGACTCATCAAAGTACAAATAGGATTTACAGAAGTATGGGGGAAAGAGCAGATAATTGAGTCCTTTGAAGCCTCTCCCTAGGAATCTTCCTGCATACTCTAGCATCTTGTTCATGTTAATCACACTGTAACTATCAGTCTCTAAATTTGGAACTCCTCAAGCTCAGAGACCTTGACTAATTGTATCTTAGTATACTAATTGTATCCCTTGGTGCCCAACCCAGTAATTGAATCATGGTAAGAACTTGGAGGTGTTTTCCAAGGGACAGATAAAGTAATCTGAAAGATGGAGGCAATATAGTATAGCAGAGAAAGATTTGTTGGAGTCACAGGCGTGAGATGACCAATTTCTGTCACTTACTAGATTGGGCATCACCTAGCCTCTCATAACCTCAGTCTCCTTATGCCAGTTTTTTTTTATCACTGCTCACAAAACATTTTCTTATGCATTTTTCCATCTGAGTTCTCTTAACCTCATGAAATAGACCCTCACTTTTAAAGACATGAAAAAAAAGACATGGAAATGGACTTTAAGAAAAGATTTGAATGAAATTATAGCTAGTAGGATTTAACTCAGGTGTTCAATTATCTGGTTCTTGTACTATTCCTCTAAAGCATAGGAAAAAAAAGTTCTCATCTGAAAAACTTTTTTAAAAAATGAACTGCTGAGCAAAGGTAAGGCGTTTCCAAGGTGAAAAGACACTAGTTAAGATAAAAGTTACAAGTGCTAATGGCAGGGAGGTGAGAATGCAGCCTGGAAGGATGTGAGTGGGGCCTAGATAGATAAGAAAAGCAGAGTAAGAAAGACAAGAGTGAGTAGGGCTCTGTGGCCCATACTTCAATTCTAGCTGGTTGGGAGTGTGGCAGTATGGAGCTCCACAAAGATGAACAGAAAGGCAAAATTTGATCATATGGGCTTGTAGTTAACCCATTTGACATGAATTTATAATTCCTTACCTCTCTTTAATAGCTTGAAACAGAACAAGGGAGTGGTGAAAGTTGCCCAAAGTCCGAAGGATTTGACTAAGAGATAAGAGATTGTACGTTTCCATATAATCTCTTGCCATGGGGAATCTAGGACACTGACAAAAGTCTGGGACAGTGGTTGTTGGCTCATGCCTTTGAGGCCTAAGATTCCTCCGTAGGTAGTGTTGGTAACTTTCCTCTAATTTCACTAAGGCTGTTTATCTTACTAGCAAGAGTGAAGACAGATGCAAGGAAGTAGAACACAAGGAAGGGAGCACTGTGTGAGCCATACACAAGGAGTATGGAAAAAGATGAAAGAGAACCTTACTCAAGGGACCACTAGATAGTCCAGACTCTACCCTGGGTTGTGTATATTCCTGTTATTTGTCCTGTGACATAGGTCCCTCTAGGAAAGGGTAGGGATAGCTGTAGCACTGATTAAACATCCAGAAGTAATAACCCTACTAGCATTCAAGAGCTAGGAATTGACCTTTGTAGTGTTTCACTTAGGAGGCTCCTGTGATGATGGAATAACTGAGGTTTGTAACAGAAAATGCCCACTCATTTGAGTAAAAGAAGAGACTGAAAAACTTTTTTTTATAATAAAGTGTTTCTAGAGCAATGGTTCTTGACTTTTCATGAATCACGGACTCCTGATAATTTCTTGAGACCTCTCTCCAGAAAAAGAGAAAGAAAATGTATAGGTAGAGTCTATAAAATTTCAGGAAGTTCAACCCCCCCACCCCCCTTCATTCCATGGACTTCAGGCTAAGACCTGAGTTGGGTAAACATTTGCAGAGGAATTTTTGGTTCTGGAGGTCTGGAGTGGGGTTCCAGGCAAACAGTTCAAGATACTTCACTTGGAAACCTTGACAGTTTTTCCTTGACTCATCTCTGCCTCAAGCTCTCATATCCATTAAGTAAACTTGACCCGTTTTATATTTTAAATAAACTTGCATTTCACTGCTTCCAACACTACCTTCCTATTTCAAGTCACTGTCTCACCTTGTTTGTGACATTATCCTCTTATTTCCTGCCAAGTATGCTTGTCTCCCAGCCTCCACTCCAAACAATGAAGTGGCATTTAAAAATCTTTTTTTTTTTTTTTGTATTTTAGGGAAGGGTATGCAGGGTGTTCAGTGTCTCACTACTAGATTGGATTTGTAGTGATTCGCCTCCTTACAACCTCCCAAGAGCTGGGATTACAGTTGTGCACCACCATGCCCAGTTTCAATTGCTGTCTCAGTGTGCTCTGGGGTCGGGACCAGCACAGCAGGCCTGGGGATCAAACCCCTGGCCCCTGTACCTGCTTGCAGGCGCTTTAACCCACTGAGCTATTTGGCCGACCCAAAAAAAAATCTTAATGTTCTGTGCATGTCATGTATTCTGCTTGGAAACCTCAGGTGGCTTTTGCATGTCACTCCATACCTCATGGTATTTGGTATTTGGATTTCATAACCTACAAAGTTTTATGTGTTGTGGTCCTGCCTACCTGTCTGACCTCATTTCCTAGTAGTCCTCACTCCATTCCACCCACACTGGCCTTATTTCCCAAATATTCCAGGCCATGTACTTCTCCCTCCCCAGGGCCTTCATATTTTTCTCTTAAAGCAGTCTTCCACATATTAGTAGGGCTTATTCTCTTGTTTTCTTGAAACCTTTACTCAGGTATCACTTCTTGAGAGAGGTCTTTCCTGACTGCCTTGTGTATAATAGCACTCCTGTTTTCGCACTGTCACTCTGTCCACTTGACCATGCTTTTTACTGCTTCGTGGTGTACTTATCACCACCTGACTCATCTGTTTCTTTTCTCTTGTTAGAATGAAAGCTTCATGAAAGCAAGGATGTTCTTTTGTAAACTGTTGTTTCCAGCACTAACAGTACTTGTCACACAATAGGCACTCTGGAGGTATTGATAGCTGAATTATGGTAGATGATGCTAGAGTGCATCCTGAAAAATGCAGCCAAGATCAGTCTGAGTCTGAGTCTGAAGAACTGGGGAGGTTTTGCCCAGAAGAAGAAAAGAAATGACCATTTTCTAACACTTTCACAAAGAATTCTTGTATCAATGGTAGATAAAATGAGCCCTTCGAATCTATAATTCGTTGAATGTACAACCCAAATAGAACACTTGGTGGGGAAGCACTGAGTGATACTAAACACTCAGCCGAATAAAAGTTGGTGGAATCAAATGGCTAAGATATTCTCATCCTTTGATTGCAGGACTTGTTGAGATCAGGTCACATCTTTATTTTTCTGGCTTCAGAATGTTATCTCTCAGTCGTTTGTGGCCCTTCCTTGACTTTGTAGTCTGGTAAACTATCTTACAACAAACCCTGGGTTATAAAATAAGTATTCCTGCCAATGTGGAAATCTACATTTGGAAAGGTAAAATACTGCTGTGGCTTTCTTTTGACATAATTTCTCTTTTATTTTTAAGTTCATTGGTAATGCTTTTCTGTGAAACAGATACAGACAGAAGAAAGAGGTGGAACATAGGTTGTCTGCACTGAAATCTGCTGTGGAAAATGGTCAAGCAGATGATGAGCGAGTTCGGGAATATCACCTCCTTCACCTGCGGAGGTGGATTGGAATCAGCTTAGAGGAGATTGAGAGCATTGACCAGGAAATAAAGATCCTCAGAGAAAAAGACTCTTTCAGAGAGGTAAGCCTGGTCCCTGCCCACATAAGAAAAGCTGCTGTCAATGATTTGAATATTCTTTGGGAAAGTAATCAAATTGAAATCTGTGTAAGTTCTCATAAAAATCACTGTTCATCTTAACGTGAGGGGAGAAAGGCTGATGATTTACTAGTTTCTTTCTTTAGGTTATAGTAGTATTTCCAGGGCTTTCTAATCTGTAACACATTTGTAGTTATTTTCAATTTTGTTACATATCATGGAGACAAATTTTCCCGAAATAAAAAGTGGTTTTGGCTATGGAAAGTTATAGCTGAAATGTGCTTAACTATAATAGGAAGGGATTGGAGGAGATAAGAAAAGCAAAACTGGAGGAGAAAAAAAAAGGGTGAAGCAAAAGACTAGGGAATGTGTTTAGGTTGAGAGGAATTAGACCTCAACCTTACACAATAATGTAAATCTTCCAAGTAGGAGGCTAGTACTAATATAGTGACATTTCCATGCGTAGAACGCTGGGAAAGAAAACCTGGTGTAACACAGCTTTGGCTGTCTTTGAAAATAACCCTCTTTGGAGCTGCTGCTTCAAAAAACCAGGCTCTGCTTCTACTTGCCCTGTGGTATAGGATATAATGTGAATTGAATTGAATTGAATTGATCAGTGGGTCATAGGCATTTATTTAAATTCTCAGAAAAGACTCTTCCAAATTTAATTTGTACTAAGTAGCCCCTGAAGCTCTTCCCTCAAGATAACCTAATTCTTTGAGTTAAGGATAAAAGAATGAATAATTAGTATTCTAAGGCCATTGTAAGTCCCCTTATCTATATGAATGGTTTTCAAATATTTTGAAGCTGGGCTCCTGGGAGTCCTACCCTGTCCCCTTCTTTAATGGTTTTGTTTCTTTGTTTTTTAAATGCTCTTTTCTGCAGTATTGGAGTTGGCCCTGGCAATGGTGCTTGAACCAAGTGACTACCTTTTCTTTAGTCATGTTTTGTTTCAGTCTGCACCTAGTATGTCAAGGTTCCATGGAATCTTTTTGTGTACCTTCATACACAGACTCCTAACCTATTCTTTCCATTTTTATTTAGAAGCATCCATTTTTTAATAAATTATTTTATAATAGTCACCCAGAATCATGTTCAAAAGAGTGTAGGATTTGTGTCTACACACTAAAGACCAGTGAATCCAGCTGAGGGTCTGCATCCCATAGTAATGCCCTACATTAGCTGTCCAGCTCATATAGACCCAGAGCCCAGAAAAATAACCATTGTGAGGCCAATTGGAGGACAAATGTTCACAACAATGTCCCAAGAAGGATCCATTTTTAAAACACCTAAGAGTACTTGACAATTACTAGCAAAAGTATATTGGAAGGGGTTGTAGAAAGGTCTTGATAAGTTAGCTTTTCCATGCAAAGCCGGGCTAAGGAAAAGTACATCAAGGTGAGCTCACGGCACTTAGATGGACCATAGAGGGGGACTTCAGAATTTCCCTTTTTGGAGGAGTTATGTTAAAGCCAAGTAATTTTCCTTGTGGTAAGTAAAATTCCTGTGAGAATTTTTCTTTTTGTAACAAGGTATTCAGGCTCCCTCAGTGAAGTTATATCTTAAAGAGTAATAAATAGAGAGCAGGTAATTCTTGAGCATTTGTATCACTAGAATTTTTTTTTCTTAAATCAAGAGACTTATTATTTATAATTTTTCAAGGCTGGGAAGTCCCAAAGCCAAGTAGGGCACATCTGATACAAACCTTCTTTTGTGGCATCTCATGATAGAAGAAAGGAAGGCAGGGGGGACCACGTGTACATCATGCATACTGAGAGGGATGGGGGACCCAACCTAAACTTTCATTAGAAATCCACTCCCATGACAACTGACTTGTTTAGCATCAGAATACTTAAGAGCAAGGGCATGCATCATAGTGTGGATAAAATGGCAAATGCACCTCTGAAGTTCATGTTTTCCTCAGGCATCAACTTCTCAGTCATCTCCTCAGGATAGACCTCCAATGAAGTCCTTCATCCTCACTCGGAACAAGGCCCAGTCCAAGTAAGTAGAAAGTGACTTGCTTTTGCAGCTTCTGTTTTTGTGGTTTTATGGCAATGCATGAGCAATACACAGGATAATCATTGTGGAAAAGTTATGGCTTCACCTGTAGAGGCTGTTCTGTCATCCCTAGCTGGGCATGGTGGCTCATGCCTGTAATGCCAGTACTTAGCAGACTGAAACAGAAGGATTGCCATGAGTTCGAGGCAAGCCTGGGCTGTATTCTCAAGGCCAGCTTGAACTATGTGGTAAGACCTTGTCTCAAAACAACAGAAGCAAAGAAAAAAGAAAGTGCTGCTTAACGGTCCTGATACTTTATCCAAGTGTATCTTTCTTAGACATTTGCATAAGGAATATAATAAAGCAGGAAGATAAAGTATCTAATGGTATACTTAAAAACTTTTTCCATTATTGCCATTCTTGATGCCTTTAGATGCAGTTCTCAAAAGGACATTCTTGCTTATCTTTTATTGAATTTTGAGTTATTGATGCTGTTCCTTAAGGTGGTGAGAGATTGTCTTCAGCACCTTTCAGAGCAGTTAACTGCAAATTCCATTTCATAATGTCATCACTGTTCTGTGGGGCATTAGTTTCTGGGGTTGCTTATTGGGAGTTGATTTGGGCTGTTTATCTTTTCATTAAAGGTCTTAACTTTAAACAGAGCTGAAATAGAGTCAGGCCTTGTTATTTAAAGTGAAGAGACTTTTTAATGCTGCTATTTTTGTTTAATTTTCTGAAAGGAATGTGATTTTTACAGAGTATTTGGAGCTGGTTATCCAAGTCTGGCAACTATGACAGTGAGTGACTGGTATGAGCAGCATCAGAAACATGGAGTGTTACCAGACCAGGGAATAGCCAACTCAACACCAGGTATGAAGGAGTGGGAAGAAAATACTTGTGCTATTGGCTTCTTACTCAAAATTAAACTATGATTAAATGTTATCACCCTATAACAATAGAATAAGTCTGGGCAGAGATTCTGAGTAATTGAAAGATTCTAGGCCAAAAAAGAAGGAAGAAAAAAAAAAGATTCACTAGGTACACTGGCACATGTCTGAAATACCAGCTACTTGAGGCTAAGACAGAAGGATTCAAAGTTCTGGCCCAACCTGGACAATGTGGCAAGGCCCTGTCTCAAAATAAAATTTAGAAAAGTCTGGGGGTTGACTCATGGTATAGTGCCCCTGCGTTTGCTCCCCACTACTATTGAGAGTGGTTATATCTTGTCAATTCAGTTGTGGTAATTTGTACCTTTCTACGAATCTGTCCATTTCTTCTGTGTCTTCTATTCTGTAAGAGTAAAGATTCTGAAAGTAGCTATTGATAATGTTCTGAATTTCCACTGAATCTGTGGTAATTACACCCTTTTCATTCCTTATTGCTTGTATTTGAATTTTTTCTTTCCTCTGTTTGATGAGGTTAGCTAGGGGC